CGTCTGTCATGTGCTCCAGAGCCGACTGAGCACAAGAACGGTGTTTTTCGCACGAATGATAGTGATAGTGGACTTGCACTGCGTCTACCACAAACTCCTCCATTCCTGCCTGCATCCGTTTTTACGACAGCGTCAAGAAATCCCCGGGGGGAAGAGGTCGCAGTTGGCGTGCAAGCCCAAACCCCTTATGTGGTCCTACCACCACATCTCCTGGTTCACAACACATATTTTACCAGGACTTTACACGCAACAAGAGAAGAGGGAAGACGACTCACATCCCTCGGAGGGGTTGCTCCATAGAGGGAACATTAAGAAGGACCATTGCAGCCTGACTCTCAGATCCTCAGTTGACAACTCCATACAAACACACACAGGGCTGTCTGTGAGGTCGGAGTTATCCCACCTTTTGGTAACATTCCAAACCACGGTTTTCAGTGAACCGTGATGGCTTAGTGCACATTGAATTGATTATAGCGAGAAACAATTTGAGACGTTGACTTCTTCTTCTTCTTCTTCTTCTTCTTCTTCTTTTTCTTTCACTTTTGGCCCCAGAAACTGGTCGAGTCGGTCAGATGTCTGGCTCGGGGGATGGACGCAGTAGTCAAGAGAACTCGGGAGCTCGTCTACGATCGCCAAGCACACGACCTCGTCCCAAATCTCGCGCGCCACGGATACACACACATAAGGGGATATAATGTTGAATTCTTGCATGCGGTTATTGAGTAACATGCAGAAGGGAACGTTGGGATCTAATCTGGGTGGGTACTCAAGACACTGGTTCGCTAAATTCTCAAAGATAGATTGGAAAGCGAACGACCAAACCGATACGCGAATGCGTGAGCAGCGTAGGTTGGGAGGTGTCAGGTCGGTTGTAGGTATGGTGCTGCGAGCGATGCGTGTGTGGGTGATGAAGAGCGGATAGGGCTGGGGACGGTGGGTTAGAAGATGTTTATAGGGGATTTATGAATGAAGCAGATGAGAATTTAATCAACGGAACCTTCTGTAATTCCTTAGAAAACTCAGGTTTCTGTCATAGTTTTGTTTTGTTGCTTTGACCTAATATCGGGATAGACCGCACAATCTGAAAGATCAGAAGTGCAGACGCGCAAAATGGCGTCAGACGCCTTATCCGTAGTTATCTATCAATGATAGCTGGGTTAGGTAAGATGGCATACGGCAGGTGAACCCGACTCTATCTAAAACCTCTAACCTAACCCTACTACTCGGGCCAACCTTAACATTCAACTGATCCCCTACTGCCATCTTACCCATAACCCTGTTCCCGCATTAATCGTACCCGATAGCATTTTATTAATCGAGCATTTTTCCGGCGGAAAAAACAGATGCGATGCATTCGATCCTTTAAAATGTTAGCAGAAGAGGTCATGAAACAAGTCATATCAAGTCTAACGCAAAAGAAGTAGTTTGCTTGACTGGTATTGACAACGACCCAGGCCGATGCACTGTGAACGAAAAGTGAAAAAATGCATACAGTCTTGTTTGGGTGAAATCAGGGCATAATGTCTGCCCCACACATCGATAAAGTATTTAGCAACCCTTTTTCGAGCTTCTGTGCTGCAAGAATTGGGCGAGCTTGAGTTCTGTAAAGGAAATTCCTTAAAAGTGGACAGTCGTTAGCTTCCTTTACCATCTCCCAAATCCGAATCTCAAATTAAAATGCTTCCTGATGCAATCCAGCCAGCCACATGCAATAATGCCTATTTGCTTAGTCAACATTATATAAAAATTACATTACAACTGGGCGCTTATGAGCGTCACATTGCATTCATCAGCCTTTCCACAGGTAATGTTCTTTGGCCGTGGTGTTCTGTCTAATGTAATGTTTTAGCAGAGTATTCCTGCGCAGTGGCATGCATTACGCCCCAATGAATAAACCAGCTCACATTGTATTGCTTATTAGAATTCGACATGTTTCAATAATTTATCTTATCAAAATTTTATGATTGCAAGCACAAACTTCTAGGATTTTCTTTTAGTTTCAGTGTCATCGACACCTACATACTCACTTCTGTGGTAGCATCACTTGGGTATAGCGAAAAATACTCCGTATAAATGCTCATGGGCTTTCTCTAGAATGCCGAAGGTCCATATTGATCGAAATATGCTCGTCTTGCTTAATGTTGATTAGGCTAGGCGAAGGTTGGAGGCATGGTTAAAAATGAGAGGTGACAGAAGAATCAAGTCGGTATTTTGGTGTTTTTCGTTCGCAAACGTCACTTTGATTGTTACGGTTGAAGGGATATCCTGGGGTGTATAGTCAGCAGGTGGGTATTACATTAACTGATAGCCACCGCAAACAAACATAAATCTCTGAAAGTCATGTTGGTAGCATTCAGGATGCGGCCAAATCGTGGACGCTTACATTAGAATATCGGTTGTTTGACATTCATTCACATTGACCAAATGCATAATTATAAAGGCAGAATTTATGAACTGACTATAAAACTAATGGACATTGTTATAGAAGGAGAGTTCACATTGCATTCGCACTGCATAGCTCTCTGTCCACCCATGAGTCGCTTTAAAAAGCATTCAGTATTTGTCGGTTTGGCATCAATTTGAAAGTGTATGTGCGCTCGCACATCAAAGGTGCACCTCCTTTCAATGACCATGAATCACCAAATCTGCAAAATCGCGTTTGGGTGCTGTGTGTGCATAGTCCTTACCTTCCGTTTACAAACTCGGCATCGCGCTGCTCAGATTAATCTGGAAGTTTCTGCGCGTAAATCTCCTTAGTGCTGAGCGTAAGACCTTGTTAACAGTTGTTTGTCAGTTTTAATTTACAGGTTTTAAATTTGACATAGAATAGACTCCTTGAAGCAGCTAAGATGACAGATTACGATAACCTCCGAAATAAGTGGCCAAAGTTTATATTTTATTTCCGCCAATGCAGAATGGCGGTCGCAGAATGGACCACAATCCGACACTTCCGCTCTACGACGGTGCAGCAAGTGTAATTCGCTTCACTAGGTTGAAGAATTTGCCTATAGGGTAAGCACGCGTGATACACACAATCACTGATCATAACACAGTCGCATCTGCAAACTTTAGACTTTGGATCTGAGACTGCGCGTGAATCCTCACTACACTCCAGTTGTCATCTTTATGCCATCGTTGTTTGGCAATTACTTTTATTATTTTTCGTGGTTTAATCCCCTCAAGTTCACACCGTTCTAACAATGAGCGCAAACTGCATGAATTTTAAGACACACGAAGGCTATCAATGAAGATCACTTCATAGTGGTTGAAGGCAGGCAGAGAAAGGCATACACAAATGTCACAAGGTCAAACGGTTATAATCGTCACGTAAAGAAGACGCAAGGGAAAATATTAGTTGGAGTTTCTGGAAAAAATACAATGTCTGACTAGACGACCTGCATAACATGCAAGGGTAGACATGAGGCCACGAACAGAAGATGAAAGAGGCTGGAGGCCTGGGTTAAATGCTAGTCCAAATTCTAGCAGTTTTTTGTAGAGGGTCAGGAGAGGATAACAAGAGGAATGAAAGAGGCCCTTTTTCTGATGTCTGATGTCAGTACCGTAGCAAAAGACGCCCTGCACTTCCAAAAAGAACAGCCTGCACATGATACACATCGTTCACCACTGCTTCACTAACATAGCCGCATATTGCCAATGTAAAATCCTACTGCAGCAGGGCCCGAGAAATATGCAAAACTGCTAGATGGCAGGGAAAGCCGAAGACTTATGTAGATCGCAAAGAAATCATCGTCTTTCTCGTTGTCGATGTGGAAGTCTAATGCAGAGTGGAATGTAAAAAGGTGCAGAATAACTGGTAGTCCATAAAGGCTAAAAATATTCGTTCTGCAAAGAAATGAAAATCTTCGTCGAGGTTACCAAAACGTTCTACGGTACCAAACTAAGAGGACTCCGTCTCTAGAAATAATTACGGTAAAATGTGATTTAGTCGTTAAGCCAGTTAATTTGCGAGACCTGCATATTAAAATTGACATATCGCCACGTAGTTACTCTGTTCCTAACGTCTCTGAGGGTTTTTCCTCACAAGACCCTGAATGCAGGCAACATAATGGACGGCTTGTTAAGTGAATTGCGCAACACTTGATAGGACGTAAGGTGTCACATGCAACAAGCAATTTGATTCATGTTTCTCCGGCTGACGGTAAACCAACAAGTAAAACGAACTCCCGATCGCATATTCTGTCATCGATCTTTGTCTGAGCAGAGAAATTAACTAAATGGGTAGGTGCGAGTTATCAACAGTCCCACTGGCAGTCAAATATTCAAGTTAACATTATCGCCATGAATTCAGAGCTGCGAATACTTCTCAGCCACTAACGATTTGGCTGTTGGCTAACAAGCCATCATTGCATCGAACATGACTTATGCTTATTCTTCGCGTTGTGTCTTCATCATAGTCATCTGCGACTGTCCCTTACGCTGGCTTCAAGTGGAAATTCGAAACGGCAGGACAATAAACTAAAGCCGTCGTATCAAGGTATTTGCAGCTCAGTCTATTTAAGGAAAGTTGGTGTGTCCCTTCGAAATCTCTATTTGGTACACGAAGGGGAAATGTGTGTCAAGAAGTGGAAGGAGAATGACTTCACAGATGTGCTGGACTCCGGCGAATCAGACTGAAAACTCAAACAAGATGGCAGCCCTCATTATGGGCGTTGGGGTATTGTTTGAAACATTGACGGTGGCGTGTAAGTTGAATCACGATTGCTTTCTCTTACCCACAGTCCCAAACTGGGATTTGGATACCCATTGGGAGGAGAAATAATCAATCAACAGACAGATAACTACTCAGCATCCGACACATGCATTCGCGTTCAAGAATAATCATAGCAAGCGTCCATGACCTACGGGCCGACTACTTCACAGCCATGCAGCTAGGTGTACTCGAAGAAAGGAATACAAAAAAGACACAATGGGGATGCCACGAAAACCCCCTGTCAAACATCTGCAAAACAGATTGGGGTCCTGGAGGGACCGGGACAAGTATGGGCACTCCTCGAGAACCACAGCAATGTCCGGGTGGCAATTCGAAAGTCAGTCAGATTTTGGGTACCTATAGACGAGGTGCAGCTGGCCTGTATCATGCCGTGGACCAACAACTGCGACACCCAACCGCATCTTTCTCGAGCACCACATCAACATCGAGCACCTCCATCAACACAACTACCACCACCACCACCACCACCACCACCACCACCACCACCACCACCACCACCACCACCACCACCACCACCAGCACCGATTTAGCTATTGCTGATGGGGATCTTACGTTGTAGATGTTGCACTATTCACTCCTTCATCCAGCCCACCCAGCGGCAAGATAAATTCACTAAAACTTAAAACAGGTTCTGACAGAGTTGCAGATAATGCTAAACAGGCACTCTACACGTGCACATACAGCCCGGTCCATTACACTCTGTCAAACTGTCCATACAACAGAAGGTTTGGGTCCCGATACCACCTCATTTGGAGTCCAGTAGTGGTCACATTTAGAAATATCCAAGGACAAGTTCATCGGGTCTGTTTGGCAGAATTTCTAGCCACGACGTTTGACGAGCTTGTTTGCTGGGCAGACTTAGGCAAAATGGAGTGTTTTGACGAAAACTCCCTCCAGCGGATTACGACTGATTTCCAGAATCTACTTTCAGGTCTAATATGCCTCCTCAAATTACTTATACGACTATAGATGTTAATATCTGTTTGTATAACATACTGAGTTACCGAGGACACTTCAATAACTTCACAGAGAGTTTCCAGTCTTCAGAGATAGTGTTCCCTAACCGCGAAATTGGTTGTCTTGAGCTTCACTGTACAGAGGCACTCATTTCGTTCAAAACAGTACACGTACGATTTCTAGTATGCACTCACTGCTTGGAGTTACTTGGAGTTAGAATGGTCTTGTATAATTGCCTTAAGCAGCATCTAGCGTATGCGCTTTTAATGTGCACACCAGTAAGTAAGCCACTCATTAGAACTGCAATTTTATTATTATTGCCTAGGAGGTTTTTGGATTGACATACAAAACCGGTTCTGCCCGTATTCATTTCCATTGATGAAGCATCCAAATCAGTCTTTAGTGGAAACAATACAAGATCCCGGAGAATAAGAATGTTTCCTCAGAGGCTTTTGGACATCCTCCAGCGTGCTCTACGCCAATATTTAACGGAAAGTGATCACCACTGCAACATAAACTGAGTTGGATTGTTGAGGCTAGCGTAAAGATTGAATGCCGACAGAAGAATCACATCCTATAATTCGCCCTCTTCGAACGCGTGCGTGAAATCCGCGGTAGCACTCAAGGACACATTCTGAAGCGTATATGTTCCAGGCATTCATAACAACCGCTAACGGCTTATTGGCATTAGTCTCCAAAAGTAAGGATAGAATTCAGAGTTCTTCAAGCTTGTTGATGATAAGATTAGAATTTCGTTTTTTGCCATTTCTTCACATCCCCAAAATCATATTCTTTAACGCAAAATTGATGAACTGACCGACGAAGTAATAATCATCGTCATAAAGTGAGTTCACATGACATTCGCACTACATAGGCTTCTGTTTGCTCAGGAGAAGTGTTGCAGAGCTACCAGAACCAATCTGCTTTGCGTTAATTTCAAAGTGAAACTGCGCGCGCACTTGTCCGCTGTACGTCCGGTTGCCTACGGGAAGGCTGGCCTGCCCCATTAAGTGTGTTACGACCGGAGATAGCGCTATAATGGTTCCATTAAAAAGGACAATTTCTGAGGGTTAGAAAAAAGTTTGATAGTTCCAACCAGTTTTTCATATGTTTCTCAAACATTTCTAGTGAGTTCTACATCTTGTTTGTATTGATGTCCCTCCTTGACCAGGCTGCCAAGAAAACTGCATGATTAAATGTGTAAAGCTACCTGTTTGGACAAAAACCCAGTCAGGAAAATGTATCTTGTACTTAAAGTGGAAACATGAAAGATTCCAAGTTTAATGTCCCAAGTTTTAATCAGCTAGAAGGTTCACGATAAAAGTACACGACGGTTGACTACATGGCATCAAAAGTGCTTACTGTAAGAACTTGACTTGTGCAATTACGCAAAGCAACGTGCTAACATACGCGCAGACGGATTCTCTCATATTACTCTGACTCGTACTGGTATATTAGCGACGCTTTTCTTGACTTACACAGACTATATAATCAGTCAAACCCTCTCCGCTGAATTCATCTATTTCCATGAGCTGATAATAGTGAAGGACGATCAACCAAAATTATCTTTTCGCACATATTTACTATAGTGGCAGACAAGGGCGAAGCTGGCGGGAAGCCGAAAAATAAGAAACGGCCGATTTGTGGTGCTGTTTCTGTCAAGTCATCTTCTTCTTTACCTTAAAGGCCAGGAGGAGGAATAGAATGTTATTGAGAGGAAATTCCAGTGAATGTAGTATCTACCCCAGACAGTCAATAGTGAGATGTCCAACAATTCCCTATGACCGCCCGTTATCCCCCAGCTTTGTTGAGATTATACTTTCCTTACGTTCATATCGCTTATCATGCTATAAAAATTTTTTGTGTCCTACCAGTTGTTCTCCTTCTGAGTGCTGCACTAACTTGCGTTTCTGAATGAAGAATGATTGACGCTGACAACCACCGCAAGTTAGAGTTGGCGCGCGGCCCTGGGTGAAAGCCTACCCTAGAAGGAGCGACAACTGCGGAGGTCACTACAATAAAGAAGACAGGGCAGGTGAGTGGTTGCTCTGCAACACCACTATGGATTTGCGTACCAAGGCGTTGAATTTTCACATCAACCCATGACGATAAGTGGCCCCGATTAGTGGAAACCCTGAGAACGCTGAATATTGCTATTGCCTGGAGCACCCATCTACACCCACCGCACTCGCCTCCACTGCCCACATTGCCCTCGCACATTCACTCATCGCATGGGTCTCTTCGGCCACATGCGAATCCACGACGACCTGCGGTATATAACCGCCGGCTGTATCGCACCATTACACCTCTCCCCAGCCACTACACCACATCACTCACCCGTCCCAGGCACCCATCTGCCACCTATCACGCAAGTGTGAAGTGTGCATCTTGACTCGGTCCCCATGCGAGTTCGGCTGCGTGGGCGACCTAAGTTTGAGATTATCCCGACACGTCAAGCGTCGTGGATACCAGGGTTGCTGATTGACGCCCTCCCTCGCTTCGGGCAGTTCGTCCCGCTGTGTGTGCGTTGTGTGTAGAAGCGGACTGGTTGGCTGGGAGACGGGATGAAGCAGCACCTTCCACGGCCCTCTCACGCAGGTGAGAGACAAGCCGTTCAACCCTCGTTGTGTGAAATCCTGGTGTTTGTGTGTATGGGTGGTCAGGTCGTGCATGTGGTGCACGCAGGCATGCTTAGTCGACCATGCCAGTCGCCGCGCCCACTCCCCACTCCAGTCTGCTAACCGGCTCGGACAGCGACTGGGGTGTGGGGATGGGAAGGGAGAGTGAGGTCGACGTCTCAGCACATTTATCCTCCCTATAAACAATCTGACGTGCTTGGAGCTATCACAGTGCCCTAAAAGCCGTGGCTTAGAATGTTGCCAACAGACGGGATAACTTGGACCTCCTCCTCGACTGGGGTGGTCTGAGAGTCAGGCTGCAATGGCTCCTCCTTAATGTGGCCTTTATGGCACTCCCACCACAGTGTTGAATCCAAGCCAGGCGTTGGCGGCACGCCTAGGTGCGGTCTCGGCCGTGCCAGCCTTCAAGTCTCTGTTTGATTGGTCAAAATCCTGGCCATGGTTGTGTGGATCAGGGAGTGCGCAGTGGAGCGCCAAGGTGAGGATCCGTCTGAGCCATCCACCTGCGGCCTCCCTCCTCTCCGGTCTTCTTAATTCTTTCTTGACAACGGGCTCAGACGGGGGTGGAGGGGAGAGTGTAGGTAGATTCAGCGCAAGTCTACTGGCACTATAAACCCCTGCGCAAGTCACCGTCCCTGCTCCCACCACTGCCGAGGTGGGACACACGGGGGAAATCGTCGAAACCAATGGTCGACTGTCGTGTCGTGTGAGTGTGTGTGGACAAGTGTGTGTGTGTGTGTTGACATACTATATTCACTTCAATCAGCCCCAGTGCCAACAAAAACTTCTTCTGAGGAGAACAGATACTACACAAGATCTTAACTCAGAGAACCAAGAAGCGACGGGTCTTTAATAAAAAATTATCTATCTATCTAACAGATTTGGTCAACAACCATCTCTTATGTGGACACTGCGGTTGTCAATATCATTAGGGGGCGATTGGTGGTAGATTCGACTTCGTCTGGAAGGGATGTCAGAATTCAACATGACAAGGCACTTAAGTCGTATTCGCCATCGGAAACGACTTTGTCTGACACTTGTGCTGTCAGCAGCACGGCGTCAACGGCAGTCTCATAACCATGCATTGGCGTATTCACCGAGACCAATTCGTTGCAAACTTCGCCGTCCGAGTCTTTATCCCTCCCAGTGACCTACTCCACTCACATGCGTAAAATATCCTTTGCTCACAAACACTCCGGTTTCCCGTTTTTCGGACTGTTAATCATCTATTCTGCCTTCCCTCCTATCCAATAGTTTGTTATTTAGATAACTTAGCGTTGTTTCGTCTTGGGGCGACATGCAGGGCCGGAGATGCAATATCGTCTTCGAACCGAGAAAACCTCAGGCCTGTCATGATTTCGCTATAGAAAGTGAAATCATCGAGCCCAAGTGGTCCAAGATTAGAAGACAGTTATAAAATTATATTAGTTACATTGTAGGCAGTTAACATTATAGCTTATTTTCCGCCGAGTACACGGAAACCACACTGATTTTATGAAAGGCGTGTGTCCAGACCAGTGAATAGGCGCGGGCAAAGATTTATATTACGATGGTGAGAGGATAGATGTGTATGCAGTCAAAACACGGATTTCACCAATAACCTCAGACACTTGAATCTAACCGGACGTGTCAGGAGTAGGGAGGCAGGAGGCTGCTACCTCTGTGCTTGTGGTGAGTAGGTTAGAGTGACGGATGACTAACAGTCAGGCGGTAATGACGCTTGCTTATGCATACTTTCAGGTGGCCTCATAGATGTGAGACCTGAGGCACTCCTGGAGATATCTTGACAATGTGGTGTCGACCGGGTTGTGAATAACATGTGCAGATGAGTTTTCTAGCTGAATGATACGAAGAGGCGAGTTTTAGGAAGCTGTTCAAAAGTTGTTGTACTTCAACAATCTCCTTCCCACGCTCAGTGTATTGTGTCGAGGCACACCGGTATAGTGTCCTAACGTAATTGCGT